TATTTAGAAACGCTTCAGATTTTCTCATTTTGAAATCATCCTAAAAATTAAGTTAGTGATACGAAGGACAGCCGTAGCCACGGCCGTGATATGATTCTTGGGTTTAATTTGCCTGTCGAACGTAATTTCTAAATCCTTCCGAACCGCTACCTTCTCAGCAGCCTGTGGTATTCGGTCACCCTTAAATCAAATCACCCTAGAATCAATCCTGTAACATTTTAACTGTCGGTGACCCGCGGTGATACTTTACTTTAACTTGGACATAATCACTTTCGGATTCGGAACCCAATTGCAAAATACATGCAGCTGCGAATGTTTGCTACGGCTGGTCTGAGATGATATGTTCCGTGTAGCGTTCAATATATCTTCTATGAACTTTTTTTTTAAAAATTCCTGTGAGAATAATTGGTCTACTTGCAAGATGCGCCGGGAGCACTCTCTACTGCTATGTCTGGACCGTTCTTCCGTTCTATTCTGGGATCTTTCTCGCGCCGATACGAAGTCGCTAACTCTCGGTATTCGAAGCGAAGTAGGACTCTGTTGAGGTGGTTGTTGACCTATCCAATCGATTTCTAAAAGTGTTACTTCATCAGAACAAAACGGTGTCTTTATTTACTCTCTCATTACGTTCATTTTATATGCCTGTTATTGATACTTCGATGAGAATATCTTGTCGGTCGGTTTTCACAGCGCAAAAAAAATACGATTATTGCCCCTTTTATGGACGATTATTTTCTCCTTACCAGTAACATGTTTTTGTTTTCCGTAGCATGGCGCGCAGGGTTGCTCATAGCTGTTGAATCAGAACGAGATGTCTCAACTATCGAGGATAGTAAGGTAGTAATGCATTTGCCCACTGAACTCGGAAGCATGTGAGACGGCCTAACTTGAATAACGGGTGTAGGCAATTTTCGTTTTGTTCCGGGGTATTGCAAGGGTATCGTCGAAACAAGTGCTTAGGTAAAATGGTACCGCATGCAAAAAGCGAGAGATTTATTTTGTTTATTTTAGACGGGTTAGGTATGCACTGAAAAAGATTTACACATATGGGAGACTTTCTAAAGTGTTTAGCGACAGACGGCTCAATCATCTTTATTTGAAATGTTATTTTCTTTTACCACGCAGACGCTATCTTTCGATATATGCATGTCGCCGAAGGTATTCGGCTTCGCCGTAGAATATACAAGCTCAGATGGCTAATTACGATACAATATTTCTCACATTGATAGGAGAAGATATAGACGCCCCTCAGTGCATGTGAAGCTCCGGGTACGTAGAAAAATATTGAATCCGTTCTAAATCCAGCTATAAAAACGTCGTAAAAACGTAATCGTCGGTTGACACCGTAGTTTATCAATAACTAAAACTGTTCTACCTTGGATTTTAATACACGTTTATTGGCTTGTATTGGTTGCTTGACGTCTGCCATATCTCTAGCTGTTGCCATATGTATACAAAATTATAGAACTACGAAATACAAAATTTGACAGAGCGACCAACAATCCACGCTTGCATTTCTATTGTATGTTTCTTTTGCTACGGATCTCACTGGTCACGTTAGCGTTCCTGTTGATTGCGACCAATTTGTTTTCGGCTGACTGTCTATCTAGCTAGAATGCATACATTTATAGGGGAAAAATGCTTGTAATGTACGGTAATCACATAGATCATATCGACACCAACGAAGGTAACCAGGCTCAGCTGTCGTGGCCTATTTTCTATATACACCTTTTGACAAACATAAAAATTAACGGTGTAAATCAAAATGAGTTAACTTATATGAGCTCTCTTAATAGTTTGAGTTAGCTCTCTTAATAATGAGAGCTTAATAGTTTCGTTAGTTGAAAAACATTTTAGCCTACACCTGAATGACAGAGGGCATAGTGAACGTAATGTGTGTGAAGGTCTGATGAATGGATGACGAATAATAGGGATTTTTTCAACGGGTGCCGTTACCCTTGAAGTTGAGCGTTGTGGTGCAATAGAAATGGGTTTTAAAACCGGAAATAACTGGCGAAAAAAACTTTTTTAGTCAATTATTTCCGTTTTAATTTTTATTATCGTCCCTCGAGTGGACCCTTGCCAGTGTTCGATGCATGGCGATTGGCCGACTTCGGTGTTGGCACTCGCGTGCTTAATTTCGTTGCAAGGTATTTTGTCACGACTTAATTAAAGTGCTTACTTAATAATAGTAATAAATATTTATCATTCAGAATGGGAAATCATTATTGTCACAATAAGAATAATAATTATTATTAGTTACAACGGTTACTGACAAAGTTATTAAGTTGAAACGCTCTTTTTATATTGACGTCTCTGTCATCGTTAACTGAGTTACGATGCGACACCGCACAGAAGCGTTGTTTGTCAAACATGGCTCCTTCTTATCGCCTCGAGTGGTCTACGTCTTCTGACAGCTTATTACTAACATTGTGCTTTGCTTGAGGTCATCACGAGGCTAAATGACACGTTACTGGTCTACCCGTTAAATGATAGCTTTTTGGAATGAAGCACCAGCGTACTGCCCACGTCCGTTTGCCCCCCGTTTCGGTGCGTTTGCCCACTCTGTTGCCGGTGAGTTCGTCGCACCATGAGTTCCCCGAGGTCATGGGCGAAACTGCTCTGCATCTTCTAATCATTGTCAACGTTATCGCCTTCACCACAAGTAACCATCACCAACGCGAGTGGGACCGGAGGGCACAAACAGTTATGCTTCAAAGAGAGCGCTGGGCTCGTAGCTGTGGCTTTCATCGCATTACGCAAAGCTCCTTTACAGGGAAAATCAGCAGTTGTCCTTGACACAGCCCTCCTAATAATAACATAGAACTGCATCGGGTAGAGGTAATGATGATGGTGTGTTATTTCTTTCGTTTGCCCATGTGCTTCTTCTTCTTATTATTATCTTCATTACTATTTTCTTCTGTTTCTGTTTACGACACAAAATGACACAGTACATAGCTTCTTGTCACACACAAACACACACTCTTTAGCCTATGTACTATGTATCTGGTTGACCTTTAGCACAACAGTGTACCCTTCCATTTTGCGACCGTCCATCTTTGAGTTACGCAACCGTCTCTTTCCTCAAGCTACTAACAAGCGAAGCATGGATGTCACTGTTTTGGTTGCTGGCGTGTTATAGATCACTTCTTCTCAGCCCTAAGGTATTTCGACGCAGCAATGCAGCTGTTATGGGACACGCCCCGCAGCTGTCCCCCCAGTGAAGAAATCGGGTCGGGGTAGCATTTTTGCGCCGACCTCTAGACTGCGTTGAATCGACAGATTCTCCGATAAAATGTGTCGTGACGTCAGCCGACGCAGACAACGAGGTGAGTTCCTGTCGAAACTTTCATAACACGGTTGTGGGTACTTGACCAATAGGGCTACCCCATTCTAGCCCGAAGGTCCTTACCACTGCCGTTTCATGCGAATAGGCAGGTTGGTTTGGCCAATAAACGCAATTTCTGGGGTCTTTGCATTGCCACTCCACATATTCGTCGTCGTCGATGTTTAATAATGACAAGAGGGATGTTATCAGGGTGACATTGGAGGACCCCATATTCCCCCCCCCCTCCCCCGTTTCACCCCGCCTTCTTTGGGTGTTAGGCTGTTGTCAAATAGATATTGATAGCTAGGGTGTCGCGGCGTAAAACACTGGCTCAACTTAACTTTCGACAACAACCAGCTTCTAATCCACACTATAACGTCCAGTCCCAATTTACTTCGCATTTCCTAATAGCTAACAATCGCTCTAGTCCCGCCGGCCTAATATCGCACACTGCCGGAGGCATCGTGCCAATGTATGTATCCTTTTCACGATTGAGTAGTGGTGTGGTTGCTGCGGAACAAACAGTGATTTGAATTTAAAAAATGTATGCAGATCTGAAGTTTACCTTGCTGTGTCTGCTAGAAAAAAAGATTTGTCTAGTTTGTTGAAAAATTATTTTTGTATAAAATTTATAAAAGTGAATATAGATCGAACGACTAGATAATTAGTCACAAACTGATTAACCCAACAAATATATCTTCAAAGTTGAGAAATTCTATAAGCTTTTTAAATTTCTGGTCCGTCTATCGTTTTTACAGCAAAATAAGGAAGGCTGTCATTTGTAGCTCGCCTTGTATATAAAATGCGAAAATACCCGTATCTTCAAGGCGGATTTAGCAATTTTCTCTAACCCACTTTAAAAGTGATCTAAATATTTGCTTTTTTAATCTGTTCGTACTCGGCGGTATTGTCATTCCCCCAATTTGGACGAATAGAAATAGCCTGAGTAGACCTAAAAGAATCATGTGGGACTCATCATTCACAAATGACAATGCAATTTCATGTTAACCACTAAATCGTGTCCCTTTAGCTTTCCTTCAAAAAAACTTGACCTTAAACGGAAGCCATTGATACGCGACTCAATGCACTCACATCACACGTTCTTTATACGCTGTCCAATAATAAGCGTGCCATTCTGTGTGTTCTTTCCCAAAACAAGACAAAAGATTATTAAGTGCTTGTACTTTGTTCGGTCCATGTGAGCCTATTCAAGCGATGTACGCTTTTCCACCACCAGTTCTATTAATGAATTACAGCGGTCTTATCAAGGCTTCACACTTACGACCACACACAAGTTACGACAACTTAATCCTTCCCCCTTCAAAAGAAACCCGTCAATCCAATAACTACCGATAAAAGGAATAGTTTTTCGTTTATGCTCGTGTCTGTCTTCTTATATCCCCATCTTTTTAACTAGCCGTTGCTCTGTCTTTGTAAATCAGGCATCATCTCGTCCAGGGTTCCCATACGCCAGATATTTTCGAGGCATACCGTTTCCTGTCGACCCCTCTCTCACCAGACTCTTGAGGCATACCCTCTCCTTTCTCCTAGGGCAATGGAGCGCTCCTCGCCGTGCCGGGAACGCACGCGGAACTCGCGCACGCTTGTGGCCCGTCTGTTCGTTAGGACCAGACATGCGTCCAACCGCCATGGGGTAAGACGTGGTTGTACGTGTTTGGTGGTGTATATCGCCAACGTCGCTCCAGCCGCCCCCAAGGCAAAAGTTACCAGAAACAACCCCAACCATCTCTTTCTACAAGTACTTGCCGATTCAACTATATTAATTCATCTTCCCTTCAGCCAACCCCTGCTGTAACTGCCCGTCTTGGGGGCGGCTGAAAATTTGCGACAAGTAAGTTTAAAGTACGTTTAGCAGTCAGTCGGTTACAGGTTAGCTAACAGTTCACAAAACTTTGGCGACCTGCTTAAGAAAAAGTGAATTGAGAGGAGTGTTCGTGCTAAAGTTGGTGGTAGTCTATGTGTGGATCTGGTGTGCGTTCGGCGAAAAGGGTGTTGGTAAGAGTTGAAGTTGCATTGAGACTCGACTTCAAAGTGAGCTAGTTTTGTGTAAGAATCGAAAACTCCAGAAGACGGCTACGATTATATACGAGGTCGTAACTCAAAGAAAACCGTGCACTGCCGTGTGTGCAAACGGCACTGGCAAGCGGCATTAAATAATGTGTTTATATAGTTTTAAAGCCGGATTAAGTCAGTTATAACACCTGGTGTCTTATGTTGGCGTCTACAACAACAACAAAAATAATACTAAAAAGTATTGACGAATTGCGAAGAAAATATTAACTCAGTAGCAAAAACAGTAATTTCATTCAAGTCGTGCTGTTAGATAATAGGTATGCGTATTTTAATGAGCATTTAAGTTCTTCAGTTGTCGATTTTTTCAAGTACGAAGAAAAGTCTGGATAAGCAGCATCGGTGACCGAAGTCAGCAAATCTCCCGAAACGGTGGATAAAAAGAAAATCAAAAGGCGAAGTCGGTAAGGAGAGATTACTTCTAAAAGTGGAACAAAAAAAAAATTGCAGATTATCAGCACCGCGCTAAGGTTCTTGATTATTCGAAAAGAAGTTATTGTAGATGAAGTTACCGAAGTGAAGGAAGAAAGTTGGATAAAAGCTCATTTAATAGAAGTGCTGTCTATCTGCACATGACCACATGCGATATTTTGTCTGGTCAGAGCATCCCAGTGGTGACAACAGAAAAGTTACGAAAACAAACATTTCTGAAGAATGAGTGCTCGGAAAAAGGAAGAGCGAAGGAAAAGGTCTAGAGATTAGGAAGTTTGAAAATTTTTGCGAAACACAGCCACGAAAATTTGCAGGACCTATATGAAACAGCTCTCGGATACGCGTAGCAACCGCTAAGGTCATTGGTGGATTTGTAATAGATAGCACACTCACAAAAGGAACAAATGTATTGCGGAGTCACACTGCAGTAAAATCTCCCACAAAATCAACATAAATGGATACCGATAACCTCCATTGTTCAAAAAATGACCACGCAAATGGATTCCGGAAGTGTTGGTGCTTTTAGGTCTCTGCCGCCTTCAGTGGTAGCGGTATGTAATGTGTAGATATATAAAGTTATATACACAAATGCTATACAAGTGTATGTTTAGAAGAGATAACTGAAACTTCGGTGAAATGCACGACGGAAGTTGAAAGTAAAATTCTAATGGTTCTCGCTGATCAGTAAAAATATTATTTGGCCTACGTATAAAAGAGAACAGCTTTGAGCGTCGTACTTCTGGTTTAAGAACGTGACGTTGACAAATAAAGTAATTAGATGAACTATCCTATCGCATCCTGAATAATTACTTTATTTTATCTGTGCATACCGCAGTAAATAGCACCCCCCTGATTCGATCCTATGAAAAAAGAGCATGTTATTCAAATTTATGTATAATACATATTTTTTTAAACATTTTTTTTATTGATCAAAACTGGGTTTTAAGTTGAACTTAAATCAGCCATTTTGTATTATGTGTTCTGTGCAGTTACCGAGCGTCTCATAACAAATCTGAGTGGCCAACAATTCGTATATGTTTGCATCTTTTTTTTTTACCTTGCAGCAACCTGTAATCGTAGGATGAACAGATGTGCCTGATCTTTTGCGTCAGTTGGTGCTTCACGAATTATGAAATTTACGTACCTGTTAGCTTTTCTTAAAGCTATTAACACAATACGATCGTGTCGTGTGATATAAAACACGTAGGGTATAACCATCAAGGTTGAAATATCAACCCAGTAATTTGCGACTCATCGGATACGTGATATCGCCTGCATAATCTAACCTGCTGCGTAGGCCACCTCTTAGGTATGACGCAACACCGTGTACCGCTTTGATAACTTATAACGTTGTGAATATTTTATAATGATAATGAGAATTAGTTCGATGGTAGGTCTAATTTAGCTTATTAGTTTTGCATGCATTGAAACATAGACCAATGCGGCCGACCTAAGTTCAATAACCGCCCGTAATTTCTAGCTTAGAAACTTTACTGTAGATTTCGTTTGATTACCTTAGGTTTTTTCCTTCGAGGTTCGGGGAATTCAGTTGCGAAATGTATGGATAACCCGGACATATTTTTCTACCTGTGCAGTTTGAGGAAAAGTGTGGCACCTCTGTTAAGCTCAAGCGCCGCTTACCCAGCGGTGTTGTTGAGGGTCCCATTCGGCAAATCGAGATTACACACTAACTGCGGTCTTCTTAAAGGACCCTTGTACGATCCGAAGACCTTATCATATTACCTCGAAACCTCTGAAGATTAGATAAGCTGGTGAAGTACCGTCTACGCAGGCTCTACTTCGGTATACGTGCAGGATTTTTTAATTCATCGTCATATATCATATTCTAACTCCCCTCTTTCGATACAATGTCGTAAAGGAAAGCCGAACCAATATCCCACAACATTTCTGACTTCATTTTGCTTCCTATGACTTTTGGTGGTCGTCCATAATGGAATTTCTATGATATCGCATTTAATAGTATGTGGTAGCATATTGTATACTTAAATTCGCTTTCTGCTTCGAATTCACAAAGAACACACGTAGTTTTCCACATCCGTGTTTTACCAATTTTGGCCATACCTGTCTAAAACCGTAACCTATCAGAACGTATCAGGTCACCTGATACGTAGGTTCTGCGTAACCGGTTATACTTTGTGGTGATAGTTAAAATCAGTTAGTGGCAATGCTCCTGTTTGGTCTCGTAGTGCACCCCGCGCTATTGATCTTGTTACTTACCTTGTGCAGCCTTGTTCGCTGCTGTGAGTTGCAGTTCCCCTTTAAGCTAACGCTCGACTTCTTCCTTAGACACTAAATTCTATGGGGGGATCTTGGATGCTTTTACTGATGGCCGTTCGGTACGGCTCCTTCTGCGGAAAATCTGTATCTATCACCTCAGCTTAGACAGGTCTAGCTTTGGGTGCAACCGATTCGGCTAATGTCTCCAATAAACATTTTACACTTTCCGATGACTCTGGTATTTTGGGCATCAGCCTCGTAGGATTTGTGGCACATGTGCACTTTCTCTGAGTGAGGATCTGCTAGAGATATCTAAATTTTTCATCCATTTTTATAGAATTCTCGCCCGGCATCGCTTACCGCCACTCAAATAAATGTTCTTGCTCTTTTCTGATATAATCTCGAAAATAAGCTCTTGAAATTCCAAATAAGCTTTTAAATTGACTAGTGCAAAATTTGCTCTCTCTTGAAGAACATCCTCTTTCGGGCAACAACTAGCAGGACTGGGTCAGTGGCGTATGCGACACACTCGGCTCTTTACGGTAGACCAGAGGAGGTCTTCGAATGTAAGATTTCACAAAGTGGAGCTTGGTGTCAACGCTTACGGTTAAGCTGCTGAGATGTCGCGCCCTTTGTGGCCGATGTTCAACACCTTCTTTGTAAGGTATTAACAGATGACTACCTGTGGGTGAAGCGAGAATTCTTTACCCTCGAACACCCTCATAATGAGATCCCAGCTCGTCATATCAGAGGCATTTTTCACGTCTAAAAGGATCAGGAGCACACATTTCTTCACCTTTTGCATTTTCTGTCTTTCTTGGTGCGCTTTATCGAAAATCCCCTTGATAGTGGTGAGAGTGTACTTTCCTTTTCAAAAACTGCATCGGGCTTTGTACAGTGCTTGGTTTCTGCGGTTTCTGTTTTAAAGTTTGGTAATGGTTGTATTTTTCATATGCTTTGGTGTTCAGAAAGTATATTAGATGGTAAATCTATGGGTCTGTTTCCTTATATGGCTCAGGTATGAGGGTCCGATCCATCTCATTCCGTGCGTCACGAAATCGGCCGTCTTTGAAACTCGATATATGAGATTTCTAAAGTCTACAAGCCACCTCTTTTCTCAGATGGGTCTTTAGGGGCCGATACCTTGCCTCAGGCTAGCCACAGTCTCGCCATTTCGGTTTCTTCTGCAGTAACCTCCGAGATGTGTTTCTTGTTTGCTGGCATCATTATCGATTGTCTTCGCAGTTTCCTGGAAGGAGTGCAAAGCACTCTCCTTCATATCCGCTAGTAGACCCTAGATCGTCCTTTTTATCTCATTCATAAAGATTTTATAGAGTACATCAGTTTTGTCTCTGTCCAACTTTTCGATCAGTTCTTTATACTTTGCCATCTTTTTCCATCTGATTAAATTGTAGAGCCTTTCGCGAGCATATTTTAAGCGTTCGTCTACTCTCCTTGCTTGTGCCGGCTCCTCTTTCTCATTCCTGCTGGTTTCTCCATTGTTCATTGCCAAGTGTGTCTTGTTCTTCTTGGGTATCTCCGTCGGATGCATTCGGAGCAAGCCTCAGCAATCTTGGCATCCTATCAGCACACTGCTTGTGGGCGTGTTACAAATACTCTCTGAAACAACTTTTCATCCATGGTCCATCCAGTCTATCTATATTGTCCTTTGTCAATCTTAATGAAAAGGGACTGGGTGCGGCCCGTTTTTCGCAAAAGATACTTCCGTCTAAATGGAAAGTAATGCTGTTGCGATCGTTCGTTGACCCACGTTCGTTAGATCACAAATCTGTGATATTTCCGGTTCAATTCCTACTCGGATACCTGCTATTCCGTGATCGCTAGCAGAATGTTCTAGTGGTCATCTCAAGCAAAAATGGGAATCATTTGTACCACGCAGATCTAGCTTTGCAGTCCGTTCCTGTTACGGAACGTCTTCTGGCGAGCTAATATGGATTTCTCCATTTTGCAATCTTTGAGTTAAAGTCGCCAATAAGGACTACCTCTTTGTAGCCTTCCTGCGTCTCTATATTCTCCGTTAGGTAGTTTAGCAGGCTTTTGAGATCCTACTTCTGTTAATTAGGTACGAGGTAGCAGTTGCATAATGTCACTGCCATTCTGCGTATATCTATCTGTGAATTAGCCGAACATTGGGTGACTTCGTATCACTTTTGCTGAGCTTTTAAAAGAATGCTCAAATAAACTCTGACTCGTTTGTTTGAAGGCGAAAATAAACCTATTTGTTCTCTCAGAATGTAAGTAATGGCCCCTCAGCCATGCGCTACGTAGGTTATTTTCTTTCTCGGCACTAATTCAAGGGAGGCGCTTCAACAAACAAAGCTGGTATAAAGAAATAATTTCTACTTTTAAGCTCAGTGCTTCTAATCGTCAACCCATTGATTTGGCTTGCTCATTACCGCGCCATCTCTCGTTTAAAAATTTGATCTTCTGGCTATTGCCAGGTTTGGCTCACCAAGCAAGCAGAAGTCTATATGTAACCGCTTCGCTGAGCATCTCGTGGGCCTACTGACAGCTGTTCGAGTTTAAATGTAAGATCTTCGGCATTCAATTTAAGTATCCCAGCCCTCTCTAGTGTATTGAACCATTGCCCATCACAGTCAACATACTTTTTTGTCTTTTAATGCAGCGTTTGCTATTGCAGTCTTTTCTTGGAAGAGGAATAGGCTGGTTTTAACCGTTTCTTTGCGGTACAAGGAACACGTCATAAAGACTGCAAAATGCCCCTCTTCGATGCATCTATAGTCATCAAGAGTGCCATTCATGCAGTCTTTGGTGACACGGCTAACTGCACTGCATTTGGAACGCCGGATTATTTGCCCTATTTTGATTGCGGTGCTTTGCGTAGTACTCTGTCTTTTAGCAATTGAAGCGGGTCAGCAAATTGACCCATGATTGTTTAGGTTTGCTTTTAGCATTTCCCAATGATGCTTGATTTTATGAAAAGACTTCTTGGCAACGAACCACGGCAAAGAAACAAGACAGTTTCATTTACCCCTTCCGTGTGCAGGGCCTCGTTCCTGGTGAAAGCCTAAGCTTCTTTTGTAAAGCGACCTCTATTTCATGTACGTCCGGAGAGGGATCCGCGTTGCATTACGGCGAGCTTTATCACCTCACGAACATCTATTTCCTCCCTTGCACCTTTGCGTATTACATCTGCAATAGTAATCTTATCGCCGGTCCTAGTTTCGCGTACGTTTGTGATGAGGTCCCTATCTCTAATATCCGTAACATTGTCTATCTTTACCTCAGTTTCACCCAACTCAATGAGATCGTTGATAGCGTTGAGAGTAGC